GTATGGCAAGGCCGCCATTGAGTGCAGGCGGAAACTTTGTATTTGCCCATAGAAAACGATGGGCAAAATCTCACACACTTGCCATCTCGCATTGACAGTATGCGCCTTGAATACGCCTTCAGATATTAAATATTAAATATTAAATACTGCCCCCATCACAAAACGTGAGGGAGATTTGCAACGGCGTGTAATGCATGGTGCATATTCTACTGCTGGTTTTCTTGCTGGGGCAAATTTTGCTTTGTGGTGATCTGGTTTCGCTCATTCACATTGTTATTGAATGTCCGGCGATTGGCGCCTTCTGTCGCTTCATTTCGCGCATTTCTACTGAATTTTTACAACTTGGTTAGACGATTCCTCCTTGGTGGTTTGTTATTTTGCCACCTCACCACTCACATTGTTTTCGCTCTTGTCAGTGTGAGAGTATTTTACTTTTTATCATTATCACTGCAAAAGTAGCTATCCATATCTCCCGGCGGAATAAACGGGAGGGAAGTGCTTTTGTGGATCCGTTGGAAATTCTCAAAACGCGCATCATCAGCAGAATTAAATCTGAGTACCAGTACTTCAAACTTGTGAAACAGGAGGACAGGTTCGAATACATCTGGACGGCACAAATGACGCTCTCTGTTTTTGTGAAAACTGTTAGGGTTCAGAGGTCGTTTTCACACTTCTGTTTATCAACTTGTCAAGGTCCTGGGCATGACGAAATCACTATACTATAGTACTAGTATATTGGTCCTGAGTAAAGTCCTGAAGGTCAGCCTTATTCCGCTGCGGTCAGAATCCACTTAGTTCTATTGAATTGTAAGCAAATGTAAGCTAATCAGTGATAACACAGGTGCAGCCAACAAGCAATAAATTTAAATAGTCAATTCTCTGGGACAAAAAATATTTTATGGGCCTTTTGAAGTATGCTAATTAAAGGAAAAGGGGGAAATTAAAACCTTTTCATATGCTACTCTCCATCTGAAAAAAATTGTCTTTCCCTCCTGCTAACCAAATTCATCTTTCCCCTGCCCTCATTGCCTACTCCCCTACCGCCAACTTGCCGAAGTGTAACATCAACTTCGTACATTCATAGTGATGACAACTGAACTCTATTTCTCACTTACACTGGTTGCAGTACAATGTTTGTGAATATCCGGGGTGAATATTCACAGTGACAGAACCTACATTGCTATGCCGATTGGTGGCGTAATTCATCGAGTCATTGGCTTATATGGGCTTCTTGAATACATTAACCACTCAGCAGATCATTGGGTGACTCGCTCTTTCAGTTATTGATAGCCAGTGGCGGATCCAGCAAAATGTATTGTGGGGGGGGGGGCAAGCTTCGCTTAAAATATACGGAGCGTAAATCGCAGAGAAGCTATGCGTAATCCAGATGATATGAATCGTCATGCGTTTGGGAGGGGCCATAGCCCCCTGCCCCCCTCTGGATTCGCCACTGTTGATAGCACACGGCTGCCCACATTAAGCAGATGTTATTTCCCTCAATGCGTTTTTTTTATTATACCCTGTTCTGTTTTGGCCACCCTGCGATATTTTCATATGTGCCCTACCCACTAAAAACCCTGTCCTTGCATTTTTTTTAGAAATCTGCCCTGCCCACTACGGGGTACTGATATTCCCCGTCCTCTACAAAAAATAGGAAAAATCCCCTGCCCTCAACAAAAATCCTTTGGAACAGCTTTTCCGATGAAAACAGCTCCACTGGCTGCACCTGATAACAACAAATGACCTAATTATCAGTAACTTGGGGAGTTTACTTGCGTGTTTTAGTTGCCCAGACCACGAAGCTAAAAAAAGAGCTTCCTGTCCAGACTCCACTCCACTATCGAAGCTGAAAAAACAAGTCATATTAGGTGCAGTCATGAGCTCTACTGGTAGCTCTCATTCATTCTCAAAGACAGTCAATAATCGCATTGCTAACAGACAGTTTGATCCACCGGATGGAGGCTATGGATGGTGTGTTATGTTTGGGAGTTTTCTAATTTTTGTTCTTCTCGGTGGTGTGTTCTACTCATTTGGCGTGCTATATGTGGCGTTGTTGGACTCGTTCAATGCATCTAATGCTAATACAGGTAAGACAAAATCATACGCAGTTCGTTGGTCTTATTCAAATTGGCATATTGTATTAATTCACTGCCTCAATTTCTTTTAAAAATACTCAGATTCTGAAACAACAATTTTTTTTTTGAAAAACCCCTTTTTTTAATTCTGACCTCCCCCCTCAAAAATCAAATGGCCTAACCCTTAGCTGCAAGTACAGTACAGAGTGATTTAAATCGGTTATATTTTGTTGAAAGTCAGTTCTTTGTAGACATTGTAGCTATGGCTGCAGATTTCTTTTACTTTTCAATATTTCTGGAAATGAACCCTAATTTTGGAACCAACAGACAAAATTTGAGTAAATTTTCAGTTTTTCAATCTTCTGAAAGAAAGGAAGACTATTATAAATGGGATTATTTTATGAATTTGTGATGAACTAGTTGGGTCAATTCAGTGTTGGATTTGATTTTTATATTATTTACAGTTTTCTAATCATTATGATTTAATGTAATGTTTGTTTCCATTCTCGTTATTAAGCTCAGTATTTGGCGTAGAGTTGAAGCGTCAAAAGCAGGTGTTCATATGCTGGCTCAAAATGTCTATACTGTTCCATCTTTGGCATAATATAATTTGAATAAATAACTAATTGCTATTCATTTTATGAAACCAGTTCCAGAAACAGCCTAATATAAAAAGTATTTAAACTAATATTTTTGAATTTAATATTTTTACATTGTATTCTGGTAGGTTTGCTTTTCGTTTTTTTCTGCCTGTTAAATATTGAATATTTCTAAAAAAAATAATTACAATTAAAATGAAAAATCCAAAGTTTATAATGTACATATACTAGATTAAATTTAACCCATTTATTCTTCACTGTAATAAATTTGTTCAGAAGCAGCCTTTTTAGATTTCAGTTCTTAATTTTTGTCAACAATATTGTCAAATCCTACAGGGTTTGAGCTCCGGAGTGTAGAGGGGCAGCTGTTTGAATGTAAAAATTGATAAAATTTCTTTGATCAGACATTTTTATCATCTTTTGTAAATTATGATTCTGTGGTTATCTACTGGGTATATTTTACTATTTTTGTACTAGTAATACTTTTACATCATCCCACACATGGATCTAATTCTAACCCTGCCTATCCAGTGCCCCTTAGTTCTCATTGTATGTGCACAACTCTGGACATGTATAGTTATCTTGAAGGTCATACAATTGTGGCTTGAGTGTGGCTCATCTTATGGGGTGGAGTACACGGGGCTTAAGGAAATCTTTTCCATTATATATTTGGTATCAAAATCATGGCAGTAATTTACAGTTATTAAAATCAACATGAAAGTGATCTTGTTTGTTAGTAGTACAGTAGACGTGTACATCATACAACAATGCGTTCCTCATACTGTTCCCAGATTTATAGTTTTTTTATGAATATTTTGTACTATTCAATGATTTTGTATAATGTACACGCAATAAATCAGCATTATATTTTCTAGGTGGTTGGTAAAGCAGTTTTTACTATTGTATGTGACTTACTATAAATAATCTACCAATTATTTTTAGTTATATTTTCATAGAGTACATCAGGAGTAGCAACCGGTGCATATTCAAATATTTTCCGTTATATATTTGGTGTCAAAAACATGGCAAGAAGAAATGCTCAACATTTTTGCCATTTTTGCTTGGAATCCAAGATGGCAGCCAAACAATATGACAAATTGAATTATTTTATTCTTCCCATAAGAGGCTTTACCCATACATATATGTACTGTTGCATGCACAAGCAAACAATTTGGCAATATCAATTTTGGGGAGTCTATTCATTAAATGTCTATACTTACAGGAATCAGACAATTAATATACATGTACAATGTACCTTTGAACTTTGATGAAAATAAATGTGTGTAAATTTACTACGTTCAATTACCCACCATAGACTCTGGTCAGTCAAAATGACAATTTTGAACTGTAGGCATTAATTTGCGATTCAGCCATTGATGGAGAGAGAAATCTAGGTCAGCTGAAGCCCCTTGACCTCATATATTTTCTTCCACGTCATGCTCCACGTGACCGAGGCAATGAGGGCAACGCCATCTTGCCTTATTTTCTCCACAAAAAAACAGTGCGATTCAATCTCCAGTTTTTCCATTGGTAACAGTGGATATAGTGGCTGGTAGGATGAGTTTTTCTTATTTTGGAGCCTGTGACTTTTTTTTTGTGTCCAAAAAACTCAGATGACGCATTCAGCAATTTGTGGGGTCACATTGTGTCAGCTTTTAACTGTAATTCGTTTCACTCATGCATGCCTTGTTCATTTTACTAGTGTAGTTTTCAAATGGACAGGAAATAGGCAATTCACACAGTCGTGTGGCAATTGCCTCAAGTAACTCTTGGGTTGGTAACCCCCATAGCAAACGTCATCTGGGCTTAGGATACGTTCAGAATTTGAGGTTTTGCAACAAGGTTATGTACGCCAACTGGGATTCAAAGGTCTGGGATGTTTATCAGGACCGTGTGCGTGTTGAAAAGACTGATGGCGCTTTCAGTTCGGGGGCCCTGTAGGGTGTGAGTGAGTGGAGTGAGCGAAACTCCTCCCATTTGTTTACCGTTACCTTGGTACTGCATTGACAAGTGGGAGGCCCTACAGCAGTGGATCCGAAGTTTGGCAGCCCCCTGCTGATCAGAGGACATCATCACAGTCTGCTATTGCAGGCAGAGGTTTGCTAGATCGTGCCGGCAACGGCGAGGCTGTGCCCCTGGAGCTTGTTGCTCCTATGGAGCCTGTTACGGGTCTCTTTGTAGATTACTCCTCGCATCATGCAGGAGTTTGCCTACGAGATTCAGGCTTTGGTTGAGGGCCTGCCAGGACAAATTGTGTCCCTTGCAGGTCGGGTAGACCAAATGCAGTTGCCCCTTGTTCGGCAAGCCAGAAAAAGCACACTAGCAAGCGCTATTCAGCATGGGATGCTTCCCCTGGGATCCCCTTATCGGGGACCAATCAGGACATTGGTTTTGAACCCCCCTGCACTATGCCAGCCAGGAATCATCTGTCGGATCCAGTGACAAGGATTTTTTTTCCTAAGTCCTGCTTCCTTTTTCGGAGGTGTCTTGGTCATGCCCTTGCTCAAATTTTTTTTCTCGAAAAGTGTAGAGGGCGGGTTAGGCAATATCTGATTTGGCTGGTGCAACCTTGGGCGGCCACTAGGAGTCTGTTATTCGTAACAACTCCGTGAGCCACGCCGTGGGGGTGGTGTGGGGAACATCAATCCCAGTTATCCGATGTTCTACCCCCACCCTTAAACCTGAAGCAGCCACTCTTGGTAGTGCTGTCTCTTCCAGGATTCAGATGGCGGGATCAAAAGCAACACCAACTGCATGACTCTCTTGTTCCGGCCGAGTGCTTGACGCAGTGAGAACAAAGAGACATTGTTTATGGGCGGGCCTTGGTTCCCTGCAGAATAGAGGCCTAAGTCCCCAGGGTGGGGCAATCTCATGCTCAACCCTTTCCGCTGGACCAAGTGCTACCCGATCGATGCAGTGTTTGATACTGGTGGGACGGGTTAAGGGGGATGGCCGCGTTCATGGAATATTTCAGCAGTTCAGTCAGAAACAATCCACGCTCTGAGAGCATTGCGACCCTCAACTTTTGAGTTTGTTGCCTGCCCTCTGGAATGCATCTTATGCGCCTCCAGCACTCGAGTCTCAAAGGCAGAACGCACCAGCATCAAGACCAGCAAACACAGCTGTTGGTGGGACACCACATGGCTACGTGGGATATGCCGCATTGTCATCTGGCTCTCGTGGTAGGGGCTGCATCTGTGCAGCAGGATGCTGTTTTTGCTGTTTTTTTGCTGATGAACTGAGTTATGGGGTGTGTCACCATCTGAGTTACACAGACTGGGCCTTCTCCCACCATCTTTCGTTTAAGGATGGAAGGAGTAGTCTTGGTGCTTCGGGATCCCATCCTCACAGACTGGGGAGCCCACCTATTGGACAATTAAGCCCAAGGAATAAGGCCCCTGCATTAGGTTCGGGGCAGCCATATCGGCGGTGGGACGATCCAAAGTTAGACCCATTCACCACACCACCAGAATGCCAAGCACCTGATGTACGTGACACTCTTGCTGACTCTGGGCAAGGGACATTTTGTCGATCCCGTGGGCTCACATGAACGTGTACGCCTTTTCATCCCTCCTCGCTATTCTCTGGGTACTCGGGAAACTTCGACAGGAGCGCACCTGCATTTTGACACAGGTGGCGCCCAACAGGCTAAGCAAGACCTGGTTTCCACTAATAATGGGAATGTTAGTTGGAACACCAGTAGTGCTTCCAGACTTACTGGATCTGCTGTCCCAACTAGACGACACATCGGTTGACTCGCTCAGGCTTATCTGAGCAAGCTGCCAGGCCAGGGCGAACTGGGCTTCCACCAATGCAGCCTAGTGTAGTGGAAGGTTGATCCATGCCATCCCTTTGTTGGCTAGGTAGCTGATTTTTTCGTTCATTTGTTTGACCTGTTGGGCTTGTCCTATGCAGGAATTGCTGTCTTTAGGCCTGCCTTGTCACCCACGAGAATCTCTTGCGGACAAAACTAGCCAATTGTCCTATTTTTGGGAGACTGTTTACCGCTTTCCATCAGAGGCATAGACTCTGAACAAGGGAACTGCCCAATTGGAACTTGTCGGTTGTATTTTCAGCTTTAGGCAGACCACCTTTGGAGCCTCTGGGATCAGCACCACTGAAATATTTGACGTAGAAAACAGTCTTACTGCTAGCTGTCGCCTCTGGTAGGCGCCATTCTGAGCTAGGGGTCTTGTCCTTCTCAGACGGTTGTGCCACCTTTATGGACAATCAAGCTGTGATAAAGACACAAATCAAGTTTCTCGCCAAGATCCAAATTCCAGGACACGACTCTTAGCTGATCGTCATCCCGTCTGGCCAACATTGTCGGCTCCGGGGATCAAGAGGAGTTGCCACTTTGCCCGGTTCGAGCATCGAGTTACTATGGGAACCTTACTAGTGAGCCATGGCAGCAAGCACATGTTTATGTGTTATGGCCAAGGTAAGCAGAACAGACCAGCCTCGCCCAACTTCCATTTCCAGGTGGATCACTGTGACAGTGTGTGTGGTTTATGACCATCTGGCATCCTCAACACAGGGTCAACAGAGCGCATGACGTTCGTGCAATCACTAACTCATTGGCTCTTGCCTAAGGCGCCCCCTCGAGCATATACTGAGGGCGGCTTCTGGAGAACGCAAATGTCTTTACCAGTTATTACCTAAGGGACACCCAAACCGTTGAAGAGGGTTCTTTTAGGGTGGGTCCTCTCGTAGTGGGTCAGACTTTGGTTTCTGACCTGGTCCGGACGACGGCAGGAATCCCTGTGCATAGGCAAAGAGTAGTCTCTGTTACAGATTTGTGCAAAGAAGTTTCTCCCTATGGTGGGTAATTAAACATAGTGAATTTAGGCAGAGGGTTTTCAACCTATTCACATAGTTCATACCCACCATAGACTCCAGGTCCCTCCCGACCACCCCCACTTTCTGTAGCGATTGGCTTAGTCCTCATTACGAAGAAAACCAGAAGTGATCATAAGGATAGATGGTGTTTTCTTCATTGCCTCAGTCACAAGGTGCTTGACATGGAAGAAAATCTATGAGGTCATATGGCTTCCCCTGACCTAGCTACTTGGAACCACCCTGATCATTGCTTGCAGATTTATTTCTGAATGCTGTATTTACTCTATTAGAAACACATGTGCTATGAATAATAATCAACATTTTTGCTTTATGTCTATTGTGGAAGATGTGCTTCTAATAACGTACATACTGTATTTTTTCTAAGTTCTTTCTAAGCTTTCTTTTACTTGTGGGATGTCATCGACTACATCAAAATTATCTTTCATATTACCCAAGCATGCATTCACCTCAAATAATGAAAGTGCCAATGTCGTCTAATTTATATAACTGAGATAATTGGTAACTATAAAAAAGAAATGCATCAATATTCAAAGTTGAGGTTTTTGGAGGTTGATTACATGTGAAAATAACAAAAGTAAAACTTGATTATTCGCTATCAAAGCAAATTACAATTGTTATACTGATCAAAACATCCAATGATATACTCAACTTGTATGTAGACTAGGTGTTCTTACAGTACCACATTGAAAGCGACTTTTTGGAACACATTGCATATTTGTGTGACTTGCAGTCAATTTGCTTTTTTCTTAATTCTGATTTGTCATATTTGACAATGCACATGTATACAATCTTTATACAATGTAATTGGTGAAAGGTAAAAATGATAAATGTAACATATATAGCAACTGTAAAGTAGGTAATAATAGATCGCGATATTCAATATTATAAGACATCTCGGATAAAGTATTCTTCCCCAATGTTAGATAGGAATGGAGTCGAATGTTCAAAACGTCTGGTTGTCTTGAATCTTTGCCAAGTCTACAATTACCTTCTACCATTATATATATATATATATTATGCAATCTCTACAATGGAGCATGATTATTATTATATTTAATCTTCCAACAGCATTGGTAGGAACGTTCTCGTGTAGTATGGGAATTATCGGCAATGGTGTGTCTATGACATTATGTAATCGATATGGGCACCGCAAGATTCTGATGGTTTCTGGAATATGTTCTTCAATAGGATTTGTTATTTGTTCTTTTACAACTTCATTGAGACAAATATATGTTGTGTATGGAGTTTTTATAAGTATGTGTTTGGGTTCTTTATCTTATTTATGTATTTAAATAGTTACATGTATACAAATATGCTGTTAAATAGCCTGAAATGACGTAGTTATAATTCTAGGATGAGCTGATATAGAATAACATTATCAATGACATCATGTACACACATTTGGTTCACATATTTTATTTTATTAATAGATTGTGTACTAATTGTATTTAGTTGTGGCAACTTCTAAAGGCTTTACTCGTGAGACACATCCCTGATAATCATGTGATCGCGCCAACAACTGCATCGATTGGATGATTGCATTGTTTACTCTGTCATGCCCTTAGAGTTTGATGATAGAGTGTGTAATATTTTAGAGGAAGGAGATTAGTGGGGGCTGAGGGATGACCTCAGCTGCCAGTTTGGATGAATAAAACTGGACTATCTGTAACGAACTAATGTGTTGGATTAGAGTCTAATCTGGTATCTGGAATCTGGTATCAGCCAACGTATGCTGACACTGACACATATTTTATTATTCCTTGCTGTTTCAGGTTTCTTGTACTGGATAACATCTTTTCCTGCAATATCTATGATTCGTGAATATTTTTCTAAGAAAATGCCAATGGCTATAGGACTGGCCCTTTCCGGAACTGGTGCAGGGCAGTGTATATTTTCCATTTTAACACAAATTCTTCTTGACAATTATGGATGGCGAGGGACGTTGATTGTCCTTGGGGGAACTTCTTTACATTTCTGTTTAGCAGGTGCACTATTTAGGCCGACAAAATATTATTATCGACTCACAAAACCACCAGCCCAATATACCAAAATAACCGAAAGAGCAACCACCTTCGAGGACACAGAGAATCACGACTTGTATGTGGCTGACAAATTCAATCAACGCGTCTCAAACCCTGATGACTCTGATAGTAATTTTAGTGAAAAGCCTGCCGCAACTACAGTGCAACTGAAGAAGAAAGCGAGCAGAAGCTGTTGCATCACTGGTTTGAGAAATCTTCAGACTGTATTTAAGTCAATGTGTGACCTACCGCTTTTTAGAAATGTTGTGTTCTTGCTGTTGATATTATCCGTACTCGGTTCTACATGGTCACAGTATATAGTTATTGTTCACATGGTAAATATTCAAGAAAACATGTCATGCATGATTCAATAGGATAAACAAAATTCAACATAACTCGTTATGATTGTCGTTATGATTGTCGACATGGAATTGATTGAATTTATATCTACATTGTGTTGAAATATACATGCATAAATAAATAAATGAATTCCTAATCAACAAGACCATCCGAACATGGCGACATTTGGCTTGAATTATAGTTCTCAATTTCAACCTTCTGGCATTGATTTTGTATTGTAGAAATCCAATATTACTTTTGAATGCTCACAATTGTTTCATCAAATATAGAAAGTGTTTTATACATTCAAAGTAAACAAAAAATATACATAGCTTTGTCAAATGTTTCTAGGGGAAACTTACAAGCATGTATATTTCAACTTACAAAAAAGTAAACATTGTGAACATTTTTCGAGGAGGATAATTGAATGTCATAATTGATTTCCCCGGCAGGTTAAACGTGCCAAAGATTATGGAATCCCCAGCTTTAAAAGTTCAAGTTTACCAGCAATCATGGGTCTTACTCAGTTTGTTGGAAGAATATTCTGGGGGAGTTGGAGGAAGTCTACTAAAAGTTCAACCTCATATATTGTACGGTGCTGGCATGGTGATTTCTGGGATTGCAACAGTGGTTAGCATCCATAGCAAAACGTATGAAGGTGTGTGTATATTATTTCTATTCCAATGTGCGATCATTGCTGGAGGTTATGTTATAATTTATTAAATTTTTATGAAAATTGTGGTTTTAAACAACATTTGTACTGCAACTGATCGTATATCAAGTATTGAATTCAATATTGATTCCGAGTGCTGCATTATTACTGGAAGCATTATACTTTTCTAATTTATTTTTGAAGACACTTTCAAAATCATATGCATATATTTATATCTCTTGGGGAAATTAGCATTTGCCTGTATGCAAATTGTATTTTAGAGATATTTGTACTGCAAATTATATGTATTGAAATATATTGTAATGATCCATTGCTGATATCGACGATTATGAATTAGAGTATCCACTTGTATATCTCTTAGGGCAATTAGCGTTTGCTATTGTATTTGGTGCTGGTATGGCGTGCTATATTCCCATGTTGCCTGTTGTTGTACATTATTTCTTTCCTGTGAGATACGACCGTGCTCTTTCTATTTGCTTGCAAACCCAGGCATTAGCGATGATGATTGGAACTCCGATTGCTGGTGAGTATATACAAGGTTTAACGCTGACTCCTTCATTTAAAATTTGTTAGCAGAATGTGTAATTATGATGCGTACACGCATTCCTGTAGTGTCCTGTTAATGTTGTGTGTTCAAAGCAAAGCCAATAATGTGAACAATATTATACACCATAACAGTCAAACATTTCGCATAACAGGTAAACATATTCCATTATTATATCTCATGACGATGACAGCCAATCAGATTCGCGCATTACAGGTAGACATATTCGTGTATCGACCTGCTGCCATATTCGTATGTCTATCTCCACCCGGATACCTTCCTACAGCATTTACCTGATATACGGCAATAACTAGTCAGGGGAACACGATATGCGCCAATATTCATAAACTGATTAGTTGCCAGGTTTGCGTTCACTATTTGACTATCATATTGGAAAGCAAACTGGAATTTTGTAGCGATTTCGCGTGATGTTGCGCTTGCCGTGCGTTTCGCCATTCGATCTGCGATTGCGCAGTTCGTCTACCTGAAATATTTTAGAGTCGTGCACTTTACCTTGTTACGGTACCGTTTTGACAATATATCGACATACTATGTACAGGGTATTTGTTGAAATAGAATAGTGTTGACATTAACCTTTACTCAAGCAGTGTGCAGCTCGTTTTAGTGTTCTAATGCGAACTGGAAGACAGTGTAGCGTATAGATTCACACAGGATGGCGCCGGATGTGTTTGTAAAAATATATACTAATTCGTCAGGCTGAAGCTGTTGAAATTAGGTTTATCAAAACAACATAAAAGTGAAAAGGCATCCATGATACAATTACATTTACAACTTGATAGAATTCAATCACTGCTCTTGAACTCTTTCAACTTGTATATTTGTGTTCATACATGCATTCAGCTCTACGAGCGTGACCTGGAAGATTACCATGGTTGAGTACCACAATTTCTGTTTTATTTAAGATTTATTCGGTATAATAATACAAATGTA